GTGATGGGGTGCCACAATCCAGACCCTGGTGTTTCTTTTCTGTCTGGGCAGTGGTACATCATACAGAGTGGTCTCCAGAGTGTTTGACATGCCTCGTTCCACTGTCACCGCATTATCCTCCGAGTCGCTGAGGAGGTGCTGGCCATTCACCAAGAGATTGACCTCCCGAAGACCCCAGAACACATGGAGGCAGGGCTGGGCTCAAAACTGATGTTGTTTTTTTCTGATGTTAAACCTAAGCTATGTTGTAAATAGTTGTAAAAAGTATTTTCAGTAATGTATAGAACAATTTGTTTTAATGTGTAAAAAAAAATATTTACAGGACAAAAAAATAAACATATAGAAGAAAGTTTTGTGAAAAAATTATACGCTGCATTAAAAACATTAACAATGTACATAATTAATTCTCTTTTATTTACACGTGAATATGCAAAACAAAAATACAAAATGTACAGAAAGTACTTGTATACAATGTATACAACTTATTCATTTCATTTTTAACTTACATCACAAAAATAAACTACAGAAATTAGGTTGTTTCATTGACAATGTGACATTTAAAAAAAGATATTGAAAAATCAACATTATGCCACAGGTGGGCTTGAACCTGCTTAATTTGCATTGATCATGGAATATTTCATTAAGATGATTAACTTTTTGCTATGCATTGGACACTTGTTTAGATGTGGTTCAATATTAAAACTTTATCATGTAACTGTGAAATAAGACATCTGAGAAACACATCTTCCGTGAGACTACAGAAACAGGCATGCTACACATTGCACTGCTAATGGGCAGAAAACTGCAGTGAACTAAGTCCATAAACAATGCTGTGTGAGCAGCAAGCAGTACAGTGACCTTTGAGTTTGGAGTTGAGGCCCTATTAAAACAAAGCCTAGCTTACTGCCAGGACACACATCCCCTAACCATGGAAAAACAATCTTGCAGCAACTGCTAGGCAATCAGCAGCGCACTGCGCGGGGTTGAGACAGCGATGACCTGCTGATTCCACAACAGCAGAGGTGAACAAGCCTCAACACACTGATGAGCGCTGCACAAACATCAAACAGGCACAGAGGACCTCCCTACGACCTGCTTTGGCAGCACCGTCTGACACCCATGCCTTTTATTTGGGCTGATAGTGGAGGATGGATTGGCAAATATCGATCATGGCAGTGTACGTAAAACTATCCCTTCAGATTTGAGAGGTGATTATGGTTGGACCCAGCTGATGCCAGTGTGTGACTGTCTGGTTGTGGTTGCATGGTAGGTGATTGAGATCAAACTAAGAATCCAAACATAGCACAATCTCATTGTTTGGGAAACACTGATTTAAAGGTACGTACCCACCATAGCCACATCAGTAGGGCTCAATTACCCCTTCATTGACACAAAACACTAAAATGTGTTCCTTTTATTCTCAAAAATGAAAATTCTGCAATCATTTACTCTTACTTTCATGTCATTCCAAACCTGCATGAGTTTCTATCTTCCATAGAACACAGATGAATATATTACTCGGTGTGTTTTTGTCCATACAATGTAAGTCAGTTGGGCCCAAAGTTGATCCACTTTGAAAACGATAACAAAAATTTTAATAATCGTTCAAATCCTATGACAATAGGGAACTTCAGTTCACACCATAACTATAACGATAATGGCACAGAGGAACATTATTGTTGGAATCACTTGCAGAACATTATTTTTCAGCTACTAAACCATAAAAACACTGACAGCCAACCAGAATACATTCAACTTTAAAAAGCTTGAGCATTTAAGCAGAGAACAAATCTTTTTGTCATCTAAACAACTTTATCATGCATTGGTGTGAATGCTATATAATTATTGTTCTTAGAGTAATTGGGCCTTAAATGATGACAGAATTTTCCATTTTTGGTAGTGAAATATATATGTGTGATGGAATCTTATTTGATAGCTTAACAAGTATGATCACCTACAAGTGAAATACACTGCCATTGTAACATAAGTTTTTTAAGACTTTTCAGCAGACCAAAAACATAGGCAAAACTTTGGACTCTATATTTTCATTCCTTCCACCGAACTGTACGCACAGGATTCTGGGATATATTAGACAGCAAATGACAGTATGCTGCAACTAAAGGCATGTTGAAAGAACATTGGATTCGGACGTGTCTTGATGCCTTCCTTACCTCTGTATGCTGCATTTTTCAGCTCGGAGAGCCAATGTTGAACGTACCCCCTTGAACCTTCACAAATTACCCCTTGGGGAGTCTCAATGAGGGGCGTCCTGAGTAAAAACAAAGACAAAAAGGTGAGAAAAACACTAGCATTACAGGGTCACAAATGCAATAAAACATTGTCAAAATTCCAACAGATATTGGTGTAACACCGCCTTCATTTCCAGCACGTCTCTTTGTCGGATTTGAGACTCCAGTAACGAACAGTGGCAGTGGACTCCAGACGGGCACTCTCTCTCCCCTCATGTTTGCAGTAGGAAAGGAGTGTTATTAATTAAGGATACGAAGCAGATTTTGACAAGGGTTCCCGAGTGGCAAGCGGTGTGGATTCTTGGCGTTGACCTGGCCCAGCGGGGGTAGCAAGCGCCTGTTTGAGAAAAGGGGTGGAGGAGGGTTGGGTTGGCTCCATGCTGGCAGCCAGGCTTGCATGGTAGGTGATTGAGATCAAACTAAGAATCCAAACATAGCACAATCTCATTGTTTGGGAAACACTGATTTAAAGGTACGTACCCACCATAGCCACATCAGTAGGGCTCAATTACCCCTTCATTGACACAAAACACTAAAATGTGTTCCTTTTATTCTCAAAAATGAAAATTCTGCAATCATTTACTCTTACTTTCATGTCATTCCAAACCTGCATGAGTTTCTATCTTCCATAGAACACAGATGAATATATTACTCGGTGTGTTTTTGTCCATACAATGTAAGT